ATGCTCTTCCCCTTCTCTGACAGATGGACCCTGTCAGCCCCCAGTAGACCAGGTTTCTCAAAGCGAGTCCCATGGTGTAAGTAGCCGAACCCCTGGCTGACTTGAAAGCCAAGTCTCTCCAGTCTGTTGACGTGTGTATGTATTGCTGCAGGCTCAGGAATCATAGAATCATAGAATCATTTAGGTTGGAAAAGACCTTTAAGATCATTGAGTCCAACCGTAAACCTAACACTGCCGAGTCCACCACTATCTCCAGGGATGGTGACTCAGCCACTTCCCTGGGCAGCCTGTTCCAGTGCTTGACAACCCTTTCAGTGAAGAAAGGAAGCTTCAGTTTGCTGAGATATAGTGAGATGCAGTAATTGAAGGATCTCTTCAATACATTTCTTTTTTCTTTTTTTCCCTCAAATCCTCAGCTCTCCCATCCCCATCAATGTCAGCTACGATGCTCTGAATTGCACACTATGGGTTGCAACTGGTATCTGCTGGTTTAGGCTTTCTTTTGCCAAAGGATGTCATACTATAGAGGAATGAAATAAATATAACAAAATTATTGAAATTGTTTCAGCCTCTGAAGTGAATGCAATTGTTTTGGATCTATTTTATTTTATTTCATGTCATTTCATGTGATGTTATGTTATGTTATTTTAATCAAGGCTAAGATAGTCCATGTGTTGCTGGATGGTCACAGCATCTCCCCTCCAGAGGGCTTTCTTATCCGCAAGGGACCAGGCAACTGCCATTTTGACTTTGCCCAAGAAATTCTCTTTCTTGACTATCTGCAGCCCCAGCTGATTAATAAAGTACAAAGGAGGTAAAGTAGGATGTTTTTGCTATCTGAACCACACAACTTCTCTTAACTGTTTAGTATTTTTTTCATATTCTCTGTTGACGCCAATTATATTAGGCACCAGGGTGAAAATATGAAGTATTTAGAGCAAAATGTTTCATTGGGTTTTAAATATATACTGTTAACCAGATTTTATTGAGATCAGAGGACAATCTAGTCCATAATTGCAGGCAGGGGGGCCAGGGGGTGGTGTTTGTGCAGGCTTAGTTCTTCGGTTTTGTCCTCTTCTTTTCTGAATGAGCCAAGGGTACATAAAGAAACTATTTTGTCTTGATTTTTTTGGCAGGACGGGTTCAAAGAGAATGGAACAAGCTAGTATGGACTACGAAGCACCATTAATGCCATGTGGTTGTATCCTTCTCTGTAATTTTCTTACTTGTCATATAGAATATTTTAGAGTTATATACTATGGTTATGAGTCCTGACCTTTTTGAATCCAACAATTTCTGGTGCTTTAAGAAATTAACAAGATACCAAGAATATGAGAAAGGCTTCCATTAAGTATGAATTAATAATAAATAAATGGAATGTAATATATGAATGTGTGACCTGTTTTCAGATACTCTGGTAGTTTTTTCTCCTGCATTTTATAATCCATCCAAGCTGGAGCTAGAGGTCCATTAGCACAGTATCCAGCCAAGCCTATCAAAGCTAGAAGTAGTCTTCGTATTTTTGCATATCTTTGAATGCTTGTCTCATTTTATATCTTTATTAAGGTTGACCAGAACTGTGTAATATTCTTGCCATTTTTCTTAATGTTTGTGGCTTTTAAAGCTTAAGTTTTCCTAGATAAGCGCAGCCTTTACCGTCATGCCATCCATCTATTTGACAGGCCTTTTAAATCCATTAGGCTATTCTAACCAAGTTTGGGGACAATGCGGTCTCAGCAATACTAAGTTCCTTCTGGTTTCATGAAAATCAGTGTCTGGGTAGAGCAAAGAGATACAAATGAGTGCTCCATTAGAGAAATGGACAACACAGACTCCATCATTACATTTTCTGTCATTCAGTTTAGGGGCATATTTGCTGGCCAGTTGTCACCCGTGTAATTCAAAACCAGGCAAAGGCATATTCAGAAAACATAGGAAGGCAGTAAAGGCTCCAAACAGGAGCTGTGGTGTTAATAAATTGCAGTGTACGAGAAGGTAAGACACACACTAAAAACATCCAGTAGTTCTTCATGTGATCAAAGAACATATATGAACATATAGATATGTGAACGTGTATACATGGAAACATATATAGATAGACTTTTGCCTAGTTGTGCCACCTGCAGAAGTTAATTTGTGTGTGTATTATCAGTGACAGAAAAGGCAGACTTCTTGTCTTAAAAGAAAATAGTTTCTTCAGAGAGGTTTAAGACATAGTGAAGTCAGAAGTGAAAAACAGATTTTTTTTTCACTTTCCTAAAGTGCAAATAAGAGTGTCTGATATCGAGATGTGGGCTGCACAATAGTTTTTGAAACTGCAAATTAAATAGTCTGTTAGGACAAAGTATCAGTATCAAAATTTTCCTTAATAGCTTTTTGCTTTTTAGTTGTTTTCCAGTTTCAGCTTCTGACAAGTTGGGGTGATCCCTACTACATTGGTTTGAATGGACTTGAGTTGTTCAATGAACATGGAGACCAAATCTTGCTAACTGAAAACAGTATCCTTCTACAGACCAAGCGCCTCTATCCCTTTCAGATACACAGTTTGCTCTCTGGCAAATTATCATATGGCATCGCTTGCTACTTCTTCCAAATTGTTAGTTTATCCCATGTGATTACTCTCCTTGTATTTCTCTATATTTGCGTGATGATCTTGTTTCATATGTTTTAATGTATTCTGTATACTTTCAGAACATTTCTTCTCTGAATGGGATACACCACAAAGCAGGAGGGAAGGCTTAAGAAGGATATGGTGTTTTTTGCTATCGACATTTATTTATTCTATGGTGTGGAAGGACCAGAAAGTTTGATGAGCTATAAATTCATAAGAAAAGGTTGAGCTCAGTTCTTTGTTATGGAATCTTTCATTGTGCCACAAGAAAGAAATTTTTCATAACTCTTGTTCTGGAGCTTTAGGCTATTCTAGACGCCCGATCCAGTCATGAAGATAAGGGCTGAGACTTTCAGTTTGATTCAGTGTTCCCTGGGTAACCAACAGAGGGAATGAAGGACATGTTTGAAAGATTCATAGTCATCAAGGTTACACTTCAGTGCTCTGTATCAGCTAAAGTCTCTTAAGAGCCGAAAGCTTCATACCCCAACATATAATTCATGTAGTTCAGTCACATGGAAGAAACAGTTTCATAGCCAACTAGAATGGATAAAAAGCGTGGATGCTGCATGAATTGTATGTCTCTAAGGATCCTCATTGCCTAATAAATAGAGGATACAATGAAAAAGGTAATAAAGACTTTTTCCTGAATGCTGTTTTTATTTGTATCTTGTACGATACATGATGAACTTGAAACATCCGTAGTGGAGAAGCAGCATTTTGAAATTGAAAAGTGGTAACAAATTGTTTTTAAGAACAGGGGATCTTTAACTTAGCTTTTAAACGGTATGTCTTTACAGTACAATACAATGCCAGGTAAAGATACCTCAGCTCATTTTGAATGATCGCCTGTTTCTGCCTGTACAGTAGTGTTGCTCAGATATATTAGGATCCCCAAAAGACCGTATTTGTCTTAGTGCAGTGTCTAAATGCGATAATTCAGTACTGAGTCTGGAGCAAGCTTTTCTTAAACAGTTGAGGTGTTGCTGTGTTATTCCTTAAATTCTTTATAAATACTTACAGACTCAGGCCTTCTAGAAAGCAGGACAAGGGGAAATTAATGTCCCTCAAACCGGATAGCTAGGGATTTATAATTCTGAAGACAGTGCCATCCATCCACATTTCTTTGCACGTCTTTAACATACATATGTTTTTAACATAAATGTTCTCTTACAGAGAAAATCTGGTTACATTTAAAGAACTGAACGAAGGCCTTATTAGACAGTTACTGATTTTTATCACAAAGCTTGAGGAACTCCTGCAAAACCTAGTCTGACTGGTGGCTACCTCCTGCAAGGATACTTTTCTTGAGATATGTTTCATATGAGGAGTTTTCACAAGTTCATGCTAAAAAATGGGGCTTTGTCACAAAAAAAGCTGGGAAGTGCCTATTCCTGATAAGGGAACTTTATTGATGAAGTCATAAATACATACTTGAAAACAAATTAAATGCAGCTAGTTCATTTATTGCTATTTTAAAAATAATGTTGAATGCCAGAATCTGTAAGGGTTGTCCTGCTTTTAAAAATGTGCCCCCAAGTTCCTCATCTACCTATGTGAAGTGCTTGGAGTGTTTTTAAGTTTTGCTGCTGGAGTGGCAAATACTCGCTCATGGAATCTGGAAGAGCAAGCATGAACTTTTAAATATGGTGTTTCTGAAATGTGCTTCGCAGTTATTTCCGCTTAAAGTTTTTTTTTCAGATATTGCTGCTTTTCCAGATAGTGTCAACATTTTAGAAGATGTATCTGGAGACATCCGAACTCCAGACAAACTAGTTGACAGAGTAAACGACACAACTGATGGCAGACATATGTGGCTTGCACCAGTTCTTCCTGGTTTGGTACATTTTCCCTTTTCATTCCATTTTAGTGATGGGCATAGATATAGCAAGAAGCATAAAGGAAAGGGGAAGCAGATATAATTTTTAGGTAAATTTGATATTAGTAAATGATGCTAAATCACTGCCGTTTAGAAGACGTTCTTTTTCTAGTTTCCCTTCACTGCAGAGATAGCAGCAGTATAGATTTCAGGTTTGTAATCTCCTTCTGTCTCCATGGTGCAATAGCAGAAGAATTTCCAAGGCTAGCGTAGATGTTTTTTTCAGTTACTATGATAAAGATACTGACAAAGGAGTTTAATATGCGTGTTTTGTGTAATAAACACCTTTCAAATGGGAGCGGACTGGGATCCTAAATTCATTTTTACAAAAAGCAATGAATGTTGTTCCAGCAGTGAGAATTTTTTTAATCTCATTATCTGTGTTGAATTCAAATTGAGAAATCGGAGATGACAGACTTCATATTTCATGTCCTAAGGCCCCAAGTGATTCAGCCCTTTTAGAAGCCCCATGTTTAAAATATGGGGTATCAAATATCTAAACAGGAAAAGTAGATAAACTTAGATGAGTTCTGACTTTGTTTTGAGAGAGGACATTTTTTATGGGCCTGTTATGGACATCGTTAAGATGTATTTGTTTCTTAGAAGAGGATGGATTTCAGAAGTAGCAAAATGTAAACCTGACATGTGATATGTTGTAGCTTACTGTGTTGGAAAAATTCTTACTCCATATGTTACAGTTATTAGTTAGATAATTAAAAGCAAAGAGTTAAGTCAATTTTGAAAATACTTCATATATCATTATATGTTGTAATGCAGTGGGTATAATTAAGATAAAGCTTTTAAGTATACTTGGGAATACTGACCACTTGCATTTCTTAGGAAAATGGAAGGTCTGTGTAATGCTTAAGGCTCCTACTGTGTAGATCCCACATCTTGAATCCTGGTAATTAATTTGATGGGATGCTCAGATATCCATTATAACATCATGAATAATTGATTTGACAACCATCTGAGTTTGCTCATGTCCTTATAAAAGACATGCTTGCAGAGGCTATTTCATTTTGGCAAAAGGAAGGTAACAGTACCTGGAGTTCTAGCACAGATGCATACACTGTTTTGCGTTGTTATGTCTGACACCAAAGTACTGTAGAAGAACATAAGATATCAGTATTAAAAGGGTAAATTGATAAAGTGTGATATACAGGAGGGAAGAGTAAGCAATTTAATGGCGCTTTCTGTCCTTAAACTGTAGCAAATTATACCTTTTCAGACCCACATAGTACTTTTTTCTCTTCCATCTTCCATGGTGTGGTTGTACAGCCAGGAAGTGCAAATGGATTAAGCAATCAGGCTATTCATGATCATCCTCTGTAGTTGGGATGCTGAACCAAAGCTTGTATATACTTACATCCTCATTGCTAGGCTGCTTTGAAACGTGCCGGTTGCCTAGAAAGCTGAATTAACTGTTCGCTACATTGGAAGGTTCAAAAGCTTTAAGGAAATTTTATATTATAGCCTTTCTTTTCCTTTCTAAATATCTTTTCCTTTCTAGTTCTAAAAGTGTTTTTATCTTTTGCAAATTTATTACTAATGTAAGTACAATTTGAATTCTTTGTTCCCCTGTTACTGATTGTCATTTTGTTTATTTGTTTGAATGTATTTTCCATCAATTTTCTCATTTGCTGTGAGACTAACAATTGCTATTGGAGACTATGCCCAAATTGTCTTCTGGAAAATCACAGATATAAAAATTTCTATTGATCACCTCTACCTTTCTTTCTTCAGTAAAAAAAAAGCATAATGGCTTAATACAACTAACAATATCTTCTCCAGTGCATCAAAGGATTAAAACTTCAGAGATGGGAGAGATGAAGCTTAAGATATGTTGGCCCAAAGTTGGTATAGTAGCTCATAAAAGGAATAGCATAGAATTAACTGTAACAGGCAAGATTGGTTTCCTACAGCCTCATCTTTGGTCTTAACATCTTGACATTAATGTCACTGAAAGTGAAATGAACAATACCTCAAGCAATAATTGTTTAGCAAGCATCTGGAGAATTGTCTCTACATTCTTATTAGTGCCCCTCACACAAAAATTGCAAAATTTCTGCAAGAGCTTTCAAAGTCAGGGGATATAGGAGAAATTTTAGTCTTGCAAATAGAAAGGTGGATTCCATTCATATTTGGTAGAAATGGAATGGAATGGAATGGAATGGAATGGAATGGAATGGAATGGAATGGAATGGAATGGAATGGAATGGAATGGAATGGAATGGAATGGAATGGAATGGAATGGAATGGAATGGAATGGAATGGAATGGAATGGAATGGAATGGAATGGAATGGAATGGAATGGAATGGAATGGAATGGAATGGAATGGAATGGAATGGAATGGAATGGAATGGAATGGAATGGAATGGAATGGAATGGAATGGAATGGAATGGAATGGATTGGAATGGATTGGAATGGAATGGAATAGATAGAATACAATAGAACAGAATAGAATAGACACCAGCTTGTCTTATCCTGAAGCACGTGTCTGTATTTGGTTGATTAAATACTCATTAAAAGTGTCTCTCTACCCCTCCTCCAGTTGACTAGCAGTCCAGGATGACAAGCTCAGGTGTAGATGTTATCTTCTGATGAGTTACAGGTACATTTGAGAGGGCAGCTCTGGGGTAGAGACAACGTCTGTGAATTATCAACAGAGATGATAACTGAACCTAAATCCTTAGCATCCATTATCTGTCCTCTAGCTATATATCTTTAAATACGGACCTCTTTTGATGAAACATGCATGAGAATTTCATTTCTTTGGGGAATTTGTGCTGTTGAATATAAATTAATTCTCTTTTACAGGTGAATAGGGTATATGTCATTTTTGATGTACCTACTACTGTGTCAATGATCAAGTTATGGAATTATGCCAAAACACCTCAGAGAGGTGTGAAAGAATTCGGTGTAAGTAATTTTTGTATGCATTTTGTATGTTCTGGTGAGTCAGCTTGCTTGATTTTTGTACTTATTTTCACAGTTTACTGAAGTGTGATTCCATATAATCTCAAAGGATGGGATTCATCTTATTTAACTCTGCATTTAGTATTAAAATGACTAATCTATGCCAGTCATCTGTCCTCCCTTTCTTGTCCAGGGAAAGAACACTTTATTTGATTTTTTTCTTTGATAATTGTCTTAAGATAGGATAATGCTTTCCTTTTTCCACTGACTATAGAGCAGACCTGGAAGACTAGTTTAAACTACAAACCCAAGTTTTAGACAGCTGAAGTGAGGTGAGATTCATTAATTCCTGGATTTAAGAGTGATTCACTCCAGTTAATAGAATGGCAATTATGTAAGACATGAAATACATTTTTAATTACCTACTTGAAAGCTGCATTAGAAACACCAGTGAGAAGATAAAAACTTGGAAAAAAAAATCAAAGTCCAGCAGTGAATAGAGAGAAATGGAAGTTTTAAGGAACAAAAGCTAAACTAATGACCAGACTTGTGAAACAAATAGGGCAAAATGATTTCTAGTTAATTGATAGAGCCGACTGCTGAAAGCAATGCCTGATTTCTAGATGTTTTGTTTGTTTGTTTCTTAAATATCTTTAGCTTCTGGTGGATGACTTGCTTGTGTACAATGGGATTCTGGATATGGTGAACCATGTAGTATCAGGCATCCTGCCAACCTGTGATCCAGTGGTCCCGTATCATACCATTCTCTTTACAGATGATGAGAAGATTTGCCATCAGGAGAAGAGAACTGTTATTAGGTATGTGAGTGGATCTTGATTGGAAGAAAGAATCTTGTTTTCAAAAAAAGTGTTTATGTGACTAGTGTCAGCAATATGTATATTGCTATAGAAAATTCCCTTCCAAAGCATGCTCAGCCTCACTTAATGGGAAATAACCAATAGTTTTTTAGATACTAGGACCAAATTACCAGCTTTATTTCTTAGCATTTTCCAGCACTTACTGGGGTTCATGATTCATATTTACATATGTCTTCATGGAAGCCTACAGTAATAAACACAAAAGAAAGAAGTTAGGCTTCCTTAGAGAAGAAATAATAAAACCCAATGATATTACATGGAGGGAAAAAACCCAGAAAGTTAATGAAAAAGAACCAAACATCAAAAGTAAAGAAAAGAAAGTCCTCTTATTTGGCACAATTACTAATTAAGAAACCAGAATTCTACTATTTTATAAACGTTCTAAAATAATGAGAGTCATTTCTTAAATGAGAAATGACTTGCATTCAGAGGAACGACACTTTGAAACCACTAAGTTGCCAATCTCACAGAAAATATGATGAAATGCAGTGAAAAATGCACTTATATTTAGAAGGTCAGGATTGATAGGGTCTAAAAAGGAGTCCCTAGCAAGGAAAATAAAGATTGAAAGAATAATTTAAATGAGATTGAGAAGTGAAAAGTCGAAAGCTTATAGAAATAAACACTTTCTTATACATTGCACAGCTAACAAATAGAATGTCTTGCACATACATCACTTGGAAAAAAAGGCGACAGTTTTGCATTCAAAAATGGCACATGATTCGTTCAGAAGAATATTCAAATATTTAGAAACAAGTGGAAGGAACGTAAGCTCTCCTGATTAAGAACAGAAGTTCACGTTTGCCTATGGTGGTTGTTTTCCTGTGGTTCTCTAAAGCATTCGCTGTTGGCCAGTGGTACTGTCAGATGTTGAAATAAATTATTATCATTTGGATGTATTGTGTTAGACTCATGTTCTTGTACAAGTGGCTGTGTTGTCATGGTAAAATTTGGAGGTAAACAATTTTTCAAGTGCAAAAGTTACTGAAATGAAAATGTCTGGAGGAAGTACAAGTATTGAGAAAATTTTCAGTGGGATGTAGAAAGGAGGAGGGGAAACGAACCTTTACTTTCTTCAGCTTAACATCTTTCTATGAGATTTTATTTCTGTTTTACGGGAAGCAGAGAAGCACCAGCTGTAATCATAGATCTTTTTCATAGAACTTCCTTTGCACATATTTATAAGACATATACCCTTTGATTTAGTTTTAAGAGGGGTATACTTTTTGGGCCATGCAAACTGCATGATCTGTTTTCCAGTCAAGAACGTGCTGAGTTTCTTCTCTTCTAGACTTCCTGTGCAGGAGCGTTCTTGGTCTTTCTTCTTAGCCTGTTTTGCAATCTTCTATTCCCTTTCTCCACCTACTACCCAACTAAAATATAGGGTACTTCAGCAATAGAAGATAAATCCCTCACTACATGCTGGATAATATCCCTCCATTCAAAAAATATGCTCTTGAGCTTTTATATATTGTTACTTCTGATTTTGGCCTATTCTCTTTCACATGTCACTGTTCAGTATTTTATGAACCCTGAACTTGAGTCTGATATTATCATCAATACCTTAAGTTCTGATTTACCTCAGTATCGGTTCCCCTGTTTCATTCCGACAGTTTGAGAGACGTGACATTTTTCTCCAAAAATAGAAACCTATTTTGTGCAGTATTTGTAGAGAAAAGAAAAATACACTTCTTTTTTTCCAAAGGCACGGATGTTTTGTTTATGTCTGTGTGAAAGGGAGATGTTATTAGTGATGTTTTCTTTCACGTTCAATTCAGCTCATATTTTTCTTCTGTAATTTGTTTAATTTAATTTAACTTTGAAGTTACTGCTTCTTTCCCAAAAAGAAATTGTTAAAATTTTGCAGCAGCCTGCAAACAAAACTTATCACAGTAAATGAATTTTGTTTAGTTCAGAAAATTTTCAAATCAGGCTATATCAACATTACAAAACAGTGTTAAGTTCCATGTAAGGATTTTTATACCCTCTTTGTACAGCACTGATTTAAAGTCTCACTTTGGTTAATGTGGTTCAAGCTGTGTAGGCAGGCAAGAAAATTGTAGAGTGAGTATGGTATTTATATTTGAATGTGTGCCTGAATGAATGCCACTAATTAAAACTGTCAAGCAGTCCTTCAGGTGGATGCAGACAGAATGCCTTTCCTTTTTAGATAGTCTCATATAAAGTGGCTGTGCTTCATAGCTTTGTTTAGCCTCCAGGACCTAAATAACTTACTTGGTATCCTTCTCCATGACTCTCATAGCTTTTTACAACATTGATTATTTTGGCTATTGTACTGATTTTAGTCTTTTCAGCAATCATGTGGGAGATCAGGATGTACGAATGATGAATGAAAATGAGATTGTCACAAACAGCAAAAAGAAGCAGGCTGTGGCTGATCCAGGTTAGTTCTGTCTTCTACAGTTTTCTTCTGCTCACTTTCTACAGAGGCAGTATGGATAATGAACATTGTTATAGACCTAAAATGGGAAAAGCGGGGAGACTCACACCTCTTTTATAGATTTAGTTCTACTTTTTCCACCATAGGAAGGCAAACCAGGAATATCATACTCCAGTGGATTTTTATTCTGTATCTAAATCTGAAAGTGGGTGCTATAAATCAAAGACATGTGTGGCATGTAGTGATAGCTTATACTAACACATACACAGAAGTCCTCAGGAAAGAAACTGACTGAAGATAAACTGAATGCTGGTGTTAATTGTACAGGTTCATAGATAGCTTTTGGCTCATTGCATCCCCACTGGCCTTTTAAGCAGCTTTAGAGATGATGCATATGTGTCTCAGAATTAGCTGCTTGTTGCTCCTCAAGCAAATCAAAAATCATGATAAGTGTAACAAGGAGAAAACATGTTGACGTTATTCCTCCCACTGTCTTTCTGGTTGGTCTTTTCTCTTACAAAGTGATAATTAAAAAGACAACCTCTTTTTTTCCCAAGGAGAAAGAGTAGATTGTATTTATAGTCTGAAGAGTCCCAGTCATTCATTGTAAATTACTCAGAATAGCTCCCTAAATACATTACAAATTCTCAGCCAAGCTGGTATATTCATGATTGTTTTTTTCTCCTGAGCATGATGCTTTCTCCAATTAGTTTCTCTAGAAAGTGTTACAGAAATTATTTGATGGCTTTTGATAACAGTTCTGTAGAAGGATTTGAAATGCCATTGCCTGCACAAATACAGCTTCAAAGTTATTAGTATATTAGCACCAGCTGTGTCAAAAGTGTTTTGAACATCTCTGTGCCTGTTGTAGTGACATCCTGCTTTCCAGTGCAGACATACCCTATGTCCAGTAAAGAATAGCTGTCATTGCCATGGCCATCACATCTATTGTCCAAGCATTAAGGACACAGAATGCCTCTGAAGTCATCAGTTGAGGATTGCCTGTTGCCGTCTACCCCACATCTCGTCTCCTCTGTAGTACTTACTGGTATCAGCCACAGTGGTTGATAACATAGATTCATAGAATGATTTGGCTTGGAGGAGACTTCAAGGGGTCCCCTCCTGAGGGAGGGTCCAACCTCCTACTCAGAATAGGGTCAGTGTTGAATTCAGACCAGATTCCACAGGAAAGTGATTCCATGGGACTGTGAAAAAAATTGTCAATGTAAGAAACATTACTGAGAAGAGTAGCTTAGCTTTCATTCTGGGATGGAAAGAGAAATGGGCATGTTTCTTCCTCATTTTAGTCTGTGGCTTCACTGTTAATACAGATACAGTCTTAAAACAGCACTCAATTTTCCTTAACAGCTTTGCGTCCAAAAACCTGCATATGTGAAAAAGGACTGCAGAGGAGGAAAAGATAACAAGGGATTGTGGTTGGAAAGTCTTGAATATACCCAGCCCAAAATACCTGCAATCTAGCTCTTCAAGATATGTATCATCCAAATGGAAGATTTTCCGTGTCTGCTGCTGCTGAA